AGAAGAAAATAAAAGACTATCTGAATCCAGAAAGAAACCTGAATTAAATTTTATTTCTAGTTATATATTTTTGGACCGCCTTGCTGGGTTCTCTCCTGAGATGGATGCAGTAAACGTTTTCCACTTTCCAGAAGGATCTAGATTCCACCAGATTGGGGATTAGTGGAGTACTACAGTAGTTTTTACCTTTTGTTCTGAAAATGGGTCAAGTCTGGCTGAACCCACATTTATTTTTGCTTTGGCTGAAAATGGTGGTAATTTTCTTTCCTGTTGTCTTCTGTAATCTGTTGATTAATATAATTAATAAAAAAATAAAATTTTTGCATAACATTCATCGCGTGCATTTGGGACTTGCATAGTATATCCTTTTAAGTTTAATCTCGCATGAATGTTACCTATTTTACATTTAAATTTTAATTTTAATTCTTGAACATATGATATACATTTATATTGACAGCGATTAGTGTGTATATTATTAGCTTTTAATTTTTTTTTCCAAAACTATTCAAAATCCTTATCCCGAGAGACGAAAAATTGCACATCTACTTAAATTTTAATACCATTATAGTTATTATTTTTTTTAACAAAATTGGATAGTATTAGTTATTGATTTATTTATTTGTCGGGCATAAGAGAAGTGACATCGTACTATATATATGTATAAAGTTTTTATCTTCTTTTTCTGTAATTCAGCTTCGATATATCGATGTCAGCATTATGGAGAAGAACCGTCAAGAAAAGACATTAATATTTATTAGTTTGTAACAATTTTGTGATTCTTGTTTCTTAGTATGAAGAAGGCTTCGACATTGCATGCTTCTCAAGTCTCATATTAGTAGAAATATGTGTGAGTAAAGAATGGTTGGACACTGCAATCATGCTTCTCATATTAGACTTTCAACAACATGTCTACGAACAGCTCTTACTTTGTTGCTGATTTTGTCCCATGGTACAGAATTAGCCACTAATCAAGGACACATAATTAGCTACTGATCAGGACGGATGATGAACAGAAAGCATCCGATGGGGCGATGATAACTGATAATTGACAATATAAGGCATTGTTTGTAATCTTTCACAAGCAAAATCCCAACCACCCGGACGTTTACCCGCCTGCCTACTCACTTCCTGTGTTGCTTATAAATTGCAGGGATTAGCTAATACTCACTGTCATGTTCATGTGCGCCGCTCAGTATACTGCAGCTGTACAGTTGAGTCAGCACGCCCAGAACACACAATGGAGGATGTTACAATGGATGGCTGACAAGATGAATTCAGCAAAACGGCGGGCAAACCCATAAGATATGCGGAGGTATATCTCAAACAGGTAACTATGTTTGCACTGTGCATTACTAAGTTCTAAATAGCAAAGTATAATGGTACTGCTTATTACTACTAAAACATATGTGATCAATTGACGGTCATGTCAGGGAAGATTCAGGACATTCATGTCAGGGAAGCCGCTGGTGATAGAGGAAGTGATGATAGTGGCACCGTCTATATCTCGGGAAGTTTGCATTAAAGTCATATGCGACTCCCTTAATTTGTTTCAGGGACATTACCTTCTGGAGACTAGAAGGTATAGTGCTCTACTCTTGTCTTGTCCACGTCTTTCTGGCTAGCTCCCCCTATTCTTACTGTTTGGTTTCTTGCTGAGGAAGTTAACATAATTAAAGAAGGGAGTTTGATTTCCCATTTACGTTTCTTGTTTTGCAGGTTTCTCCGGCATGTTTTCCAAGAATGTTGGGTCATGACGCTGTTTGGGCAAGTTACAGAGTTTGACAGTAATATTCACAATGGCTGTTTTTTGTTGTTTAACTAACTAGGGTCCGTTTGGAATTGAATTTATTGGGTGTTTATCTAAAATTTTACTGTAACTTACTGTATAAGTTTAAAAATATTTTTGAAGTGTGTAAATTTTTGAATATTTTGAAGTGTATAGTTTAAAAAAATTTTTCAAAAAAAATTTTTGAGGTTACTGTAGTTAAAATTTTTAAAAAATTTGTAACAGATAAACTTGCCAAAAAACTTGGGTTCCAAACCGGGTAGGAAATTGAGTACCGCGAATCTGACGAAAAATTTCAGAATTAATATTAACTAGTGTTCTTAGTAAAGAATGGTTGGACACTACAATCATGCTTCTCATATTAGATGCCCTCACGGGTAGTGCGGCAGGGGTTAGTAGGCCCGTCTTTACGGTGAGGTCCCGTGTTCGATTCCGATGTGATAAAATTGCTGACATCCTTAGGCGGGATCGACCTGTTACGCATGAACACTAGTTATTATTATTATTATTATTTTCACTTAGGGGGTGTCCAGCCCTTTTTTTGGCCAGTGAGTTTGGCTTCCTCACTCAGAGAGGTGGTTTTTCTTTACAATTACGGGCGGGCGCATGAATCACAGTTGGGTTTGTTTGGATAGGGTATTATTTGAAATATTATTTGGAATAATTACTGTAGCACTTTTTTGTGATGTGATGTATGTGAGATAAAAAGTTGATTGGGAATATAAAAATATGGGTAGGAAAATGTGTTTATGATGCAAGCAAAATATTATTTGGAATAATATGTGTATCCAAACAAACCCACTGTCTATTTCCACCTTTTTCTGTTGCTTTAATGCTTTGCACTTGAAGGTAGTGGGAAGTGTTGCGGAGGTCGACGTTCATGAGGTATACCCAGGAGGCAACAGTTTTTCCAATACTCTTGCCTGACCGTAAAGAGTGCGCGTCCTGTCAAATCCAAGATGTTCAAAAATCCCATTATTGATGCCGGAGACGGGACAAGCAGATTCACTGATCTCAGACTCTGTACCATTTCATGTAGCACAGTTGAAGGACCAAACTGACTGACAAAGCACAATTTGGAGGGTCGAATTGAAGAAAGTAATAAATTTCAGATGTATGAGCTTAAAAAAAAGAGTAAGGATAGGCTAGAGCTGGCAATTTGTCCCAAGTCCCAATGGGCTACCCATGTCCAAAGGAACTTTGGGCGGGATGGGTATTATAATTTGGTATTGGGTTTAAGTTGGGACACATCCCAACTATACCATTAATGAATGGGAAAGGATGGGAAATACTTGGGTACCCATTGGGCTCAAATGGCAAGGTCTCCGTTTGGATTAGCTGTTTTTGGTAGGTGTTTTTGAAATATTTTATTGTAGCAGTGTATATGAAAAATTTTTACTATAAAATTTTTTTGAAATATTTGATATATTAATATGGATGGGATGTTTCTTGAGTTATTGTATATTACTGTAATATTGTATTTGAAAAACTTATTTTTTGAAAAAAAAGTCAATCCAAACGGAATCTTAGATTCAAAAATTATCTTTAACAATTTTTATAGTCATACCAGCGAATATAATCTAGTAGTCTTCCTAGTCATTATCCACAAGAATTTCCAGCATTTCAGTTAGTTTAGACCTGTCATCCTTGGACAATGATAAGGATAAATATTCAACATCCTAAGGACCTTGGCCATCTTGATATATGTTGGAATATGGCTGTATATCTATCTTTTCCTTTATTTGTTAATCCAATTTTTTGTGGGAATCTTGAGTATAAAGCACTTGCATGTTTATTTAATAAAACTAAAAGAAATTTAATAAATCAAAAATATAAAAATTATATAAAAATAAAAAATGAATTAAAGGAAAAAAAATATGTAGAAAATGGATTTGGGTATTGGGCGGGATCAATCTAAACCCATCCCAAAATGATCCCGCCCAAGTTAGTCCCAAAACACATATGGGTAAGGTTGGGCCCAAACCCATATGACTCGGTTCCATCTCAAACCCAAGCAAATCCCGCCCATCCCGCCCATTTTGTCACCTCTAGGATAGGCGATAAATTATTACAACAATTTAGTGATTTACATGTAGTCCTCCAGGAGTGAGCTTTTTCAGAGTCGACAAACTTCAACGATAACTCCAACGGGGTCCAATAGCAAACCAACACTTGTTGAATATTTGTTGCCCTTCTCCTCCGGTGATTAAACATGTGCGCACCCAGAACTCCATGTTTACATGCTTCCTCCAAAGCGAATCTAATCAAATTGAACAAGCTCATGAACGTAAAGGTATCAAATCGAGCATTTTAATGTTTAAATTTATTTAATTATTTTAGTATATTTAAATTTTTAGTTAAATTCAATTTGTTTAATTGTCGAATCCATTTCAAATAAATTTTTAGTTGAATTTCAAAATTATCGAATGTAAAACTTGTTTAAATTTAATTTGACTAATGGTCGAACGACATTCAAACCAACTCTTATCAAAAAGCCAACCTTGATTCAACTATCAAAAAGCCAATCTTGATTCAAATATCAAGTACCTGATTCATATTTCAGCCATAATAAAGTGTGCATCAAACTTTAATGCTTTTTTTTAATTTAAATCAATTGGAAAAGTTAAAAAGCCTAATCATATCACGGATTAATTTTTTGCACTCTTCCTTGACCAAATGGAGAAATGAAAAGTGTAAGATCCATCCATTCGCAATAAGATGCAGCGTCGTGGAGACAGGAGAGAGGTCTGGCGTTGAGATGGAATGCGTACCTTATCTGTCTGCTGCCCTCTCAGGTCAGTGTCATCGGGCGTTTCCTAATACGATGCCGCGTGCCATTGCCTAATGCAAAACATATCTTCACGTCTTATATCTCAATTACGCGTTCGAACGGATGCTGTTATCAATTGAACTTTAGCCCCCCCTCCATTCATGTAAAGTCTTTCATTCATTCAATGAATAATGCACCAAACCCGTTAATGTAGCCCACATTCGGCCCCCACCACAAGATCAAAGCCACCCGCTCGCTACAAGCTTCAAGAAGACTCCTCCTTTTCTTCAAGTTGTGGGCAGACAGGAGAAAGTAACAAAAAGTACTTTGGTGGCGATCAAATCCAACTTCTATTTATTGTACGTTTTCTGTTAATAAAATTTCGAGTTTTGGTGGTTAATTGCTGCAATTGAAACTCGTCCAAGATGGACCACAGACAACCGGTGGGTATGGAAATTGATCAAATCCAAGGGATACATTAATCCGCCGGGCAGAAACAATCGACGATACTGACGTGAATCTTAACATCAAACACAAACTTCACTTTTGTACATAAGCACACAAAGTACTTGAATACATGTACGCGGCTGAACCCCCAAAAAGCAGAAAATAAAATAAAAAGATCATTGCCACTCCAAAATGTATTAATCCAAATGCAAAATTATGACACACTGGAAAGCTGCTATTAATTTGCTTTGCTCTTTTATTAATGGCATCCAGCCTCCTTTCCTTTTTCCTTTTCCTTTTCTTCTTCAGTCTTGGGATGGTAGCCAGGAAGCTTCTCCTTGATCTTATCCAAGAATCCCTTCTTATCCTTGCCTCACCTTCAGTGGCGGTGCACTCTGCCGAAGGAGGCGGTGCTGCTGCTGCGGCGACTTCCTCAGTCTTCTTCTGACCACCACCTGGTAGTTTCTCCTTGATCTTATCTAAGAAGCCCTTTTTCTCCTCTGGTTCATGAGCAGCATCTGCATGGGCCGGTTCGTCATATTTCTCAACTGGGATAGACGTGTCTTCCTCACATTTTTCAACCTTTTCTTCGTCCTTTTTATCACCCGATATCTTCTCCTTGATCTTGTCCTTCAAACCCTTCTTTTCCTTCTTTTTCTTCTTCTTCTCACCACCCTCTTCTACTTCTTCCTCACTTGACTGCAAAACAATCAGAAAGCCTCTGTATTAGCTAGCCTTTGAAAAATGAAACCTCCACACACCAAACACCTTTAAAAAAAACAAGAAGCGTATGGGATGATGATAAAAATGGAAAGGAGAACGAAAACTTACGCTGCTGGAGCTGCTACCAGATCGGTGGAGCTTCTCGAGAAGACCACCATGCTTCTTTTCCTCCTCCTTGTCTGGTTCAGAAACACGCACTTTCTCATCAAACTCCGCAGAGATGGCCTGTCCTTGATCACACTTCTTCTCTTCCACTTTCTTGCCCAAGTTGAAGAGTCCGCGATCCGTGGCCTCAACAGCTGATCCTCCTCAACCTTGATGTTACTCTGATCATACTCGGCCATTTTGCTGATCGATGTACTTAAAGCAGAATGTAACAGGAAACAGCAAAAAATCAAGGGGTAACTATTGAAAAGGTTGGTTACTCAATGAATGAAAACTGATCAAATAGAACTATGGCCGATGGAATTAAGAAAACGGTGGTATATATAACTTGAGCTGCAATTGGCCACAGGAAAGTGGCCATTTTTATAGCGATGGCCAAGGCTAACACGTACATGACGCGACTAAGGTAGCTTTAATTAATTTATTGAAACATTAAATAATTATTAAATAAATAATAATTAAAAAAAAGGAAGCCCAAAGGCCGCTCCAAAGCCCAATCAACTACACCAAGTCAAGTGTAACGACAATCGACGTGGGCTTACATATGATGATCTTTTCTAAAGCAATGCGAATAAAGATGTTGCCAGGTTTCACCCATAGACGCGGGAGTTCACAATATCCATTCACTCGCTCCGTGAGGTTGACACGTGGTATAAGTTTTACCCTGTATTTCAATTCAACGCTCAAATTTAATGAATCTGTCTCAACATGAGCTCAAAAATAGACATCTATATTAAGGTGTGTCTGGATTTCAATTTTTTAAAAAAATTTGTTATGTTTTTCATGTTTATATTTTTTAATTACCATTTTATTTTATATATATCAAATCATTATAGTAATTTTTCAAAAATAGACATTTATATTAAGGTGTGTTTGGATTCCAATTTTTTAAAGAAAATTTGTTACGTTTTTCATGTTCATATTTTTAATCACCATTTTATCTCATATATATCAAATCATTATAGTAATTTTTTTTACGAAAAAGTCCAAAAAATGCAATCCAAATAAGACCTAAGTAAGTGATATTAAATTTTTTAGATAAAATTTATTTCAAAAAATAAATGATAAATTATTTATCAAGCATTTAACATAATATATAATTATACATATATATATATATATATATGAAATTTAACATTTATCAACTTAGTGATTTAATATATTCAGATTTTAAAATTTCAAATTTTAAATTTCATATTTTGTCCTTCACACTTCAATTTTATCAGACGCCTAAGATGGTTCCGTGTTCGTTACGGACAATTGATTGATTGACGAAAATGCAAGAAGAAAGTAGGAACTAGAAAGGTCCAGGAAAGACACGCTGTAATAAGGTGGCGGAGACTGCGAATGGAGAGGTAACACGTAGGATAGGAACGTCAGAGGCTGTACTATGTGGACCGCGAATTGTCGGCCTAGATTGGATAACTTTGGGGAACGTCAGGTTGGGAGCTGTGAGAACCGAAAGTGAAGACGTGGCACGAATTTATTGGACCGTGATTGTTTCGAGATGCACAATTCGGGTGACAGGGATGAGCCTCTCTCTCTCTTTATTCTGATCTCTATCCGGTGGGCTCCAATTCCCGTCCCACGGATTGCCGTTTCTTTCACAGGCTGGGTGGCCCACTTCTTAGACAGGTGGTCGGTTTGACGTTGGTGATGCTTCATAGTTCTTCTTTGGAGATTGGATAATAACAAGTAACGAGTTGTAGGGCTACGCACTCTGATCGAACCGGGAAAGAGACCATTCAAACCGAATTAATAATGTTGGCTAATCTGATTTGATTGTGTCACAAGTTTGCAATGGGTATGGACAATTGTAGCACAGCCCACTTGCCCTGCTTACGCTTAGCTCGTTCCTCACTTCCCACTCATATTTTTTATGCACAATATGAATTTGAGAATTCTAAACGTTAAGCACAGTATTAATTGTGGATTTAGTTAGAGTTTCAGGCAATTTGAGTCGACTCGGGCCCTAACCTAATCAAGTCAAGTCTTACTTATGTCTTGTTTGGATTGTATTTTTTTGAATTTTTGTTAAAAAAAATTACTGTAACAATTTAATATATTTGAGGTAAAAATGTGATTGGAAAATATATTCATAAAAAACATAGTAATTATTTTTTGAAAGAATTGCTATCCAAACAAGACCTTAATTTACCAAATTCAAATTCACTCAAGCTCGAACTCAAGTAAAAATAAGCAATAGCAATTTCTAAAGTAAGAAACAAAATGGTATTTGAGTATTCAAGTTATGAAGCGGGCAGGATAGTGCAGAAAAAGCTTAGTAGGAAGGGATGGAATGTAAAATGGTTGGTGTGAAACAGGCAAGGATAACAGCAGACCAACAGAATTACAACATCAACACAAGGGAGTTGGAAACCGCCAAATGAGGGTGTGATCAAGATAAATATGGATGCAGCCATAGTCGCTCAAATGGTAAGAACATGAAAAGGGATCATAGCCAGGAATTGGACTGGTAAAAAATAAAGAGCAAAAGGGACAATAGAACGATGAGGGGAGAAGCAAGAAGCTCTAGCGGCGAGAAGTGCATTATTGATGGCCCAATGCCCAGTACTCAGGGTGGACTAAAATATAAGTCCAATTAGACTGCAAAGAACAGACTATAGCAAGCGATGTACAGGACAGGAACATTGCAACAATCTCGGAAGATATTGAGGACTTTAAGGCAAGATGTTGAACAACGTAACTTCTCCGTTGTACCTAGGTCAGGAAATGTAACTAGTCATGTCTAGCATAATATGCTTTCAGACCAGTTAGTGATATAGAATGGGAAAATGATTTCACAGTGTAGCTCATAGACACAGCAAAAAAAGAAATGAGTGTAGTTGTCTCTCTTTGTTATTAGCTCTTTTTGTTATTGTCTCATCGTTTGTAGAAAAAAAGTAAAAATAAACAATAGATATGATAAATTTGAAAGGGATAAAATAATTTCATTCTAACAAATATCGAAGTAATGCATAAATATGGAATATTATAGGCTTGACAAGTTTTCATATCTTTGGACTCGAATTAACTCAAAAGCTCACGATTGAGCGACTCGATAATTGACCAAGCGCGCTTATTTTCATCTTAGATTTAGTAGAAAGATGAGTGATACTTTTAAAGTTTTTTCATAAGTCTCCGTGTTGGTTTTGGGTTGGTCTAATTTAATTCGTCTCAGGCACGTAATAGAACAAAAGTCCTTCCTCAGACTTTAGACTCCAGACTTTCTCCTTTTAATTCGCGCGGGGTAGGATACATTATATTTTATTTTCCACAGGTCAGAAATCTGTTTCTTCCTTAGCATGGCTCGTCGTCAGCTTCAATGGATAAAAGCCCAAAGGCCAAGTTTTGAGTTTCTTTATTGGGCCAAAGGTTATATTAATTTTGAGTCTACGACTTTAAGTTGGAAGCCAAAAATGTTACTGGGCTGTTCATAAGTCCCGCCTAAAAAATGGAATTAATCGCAGAAAACGGGCTCAAACTTTCGCTTCATTACATTCAGTATCGAAATAAAAGAAAATAACTTCCGAATTCCAAGTTCCAACCAATTCTTTCCAATTTTGCTTTCTTGTTTTAATCGCACAGTAGTATTATTGCTCGTCGTCAGCTTCCAGACTTTTTTTTTTTTTTTTTGCGTGGTAATTGGATATGTTACAAAATTACGGGTACTATTACAAGACAGGAATATCCAATGGTTTAATAAATTAATCCCAAAAAAAAAATAAAAGCATAGGAATGTCTCCCAAAATGAAAAATTGAATACTAGTATATTTGGCCTTTTTTTCTCATTCGTCCAGCCGTCCGTCCATCGGCTTCTGGTTCTGGACGGATTGAAAAACAAACAAATTTTGAAAAATCTTTTTTTTTTTTTGCCGGACATTTACACACTTAATAGCTAGTTTGTGAGTTGAGGATAGAAAAGAAAAGAAGAGAAAGGGTAAGTTATGTGAGAAAAGAAAGGATAAAAAAAAAATTTGTAAGCTTCCACCAGTTTTCCTTCGCTTTCCGCCCGTTTTGGTCAGAAAAATTTTGCACTGTAGCAGCGCTTGGCTTCTCTTCAAGATCCGTTCGTTTCTTTTCTTTTCCGTCTCACTTAAATCTCCCAAACGTGAAAAGTCCACCTTTCCCTTCCTTTCTTTTCTATTCCTTTGAAATCTGAACTCCCAAACTAGCTATAACACACAATACAACAGTCTATATACACGGTTCCTATATTTGTAATTTTATTTGAAGTGGAAGAAGAAACTGGAAAGGGCGAATTACAAGTGGGAGAGGATTAAATTATAATTGCCGGCGGCGGGCGGGACGGGGCGGAGCGGAGCCGAGGCGGCTTAGCGATGATAACGCGATCGAATCTAGCGGAGCAGCTGAGAGAATACCAGATTCGGTCCAAGCACGATTGGGCTTCCGTCTCTTTCTTCTCCTCCACCTCTAATCTCTCTTCTTCCCGGTAGGCATCTCCACAATTCCTTTTTTTTTTTTCTTCTTTGAAATAGCTCATTCAAATTCAATTTTTAGTGTTTGTGTCTCGTGATCAGATCACTAAGATCATCGTGGAAGATTCCTTTTGTTAAAATTGTTTAAGATTTCTGGATATATAAAATGTTTAGCATCTGGCAAAAATTGTTGAAAGTTAATTGGAGAGAAGTGTTTAATTGGGGCATTTGGTTCTTCCGAGGGATTAATCTTGTCAGTCAATTGCCATCTCGGTGATCCAATTGAATTTAGGTTTAAAGTTCTCCAATTTATCGATTTTTAATATTTTTGAGATGCGTTGGTAATTGACAAAATTTGGTTGGTTTCTGCACTGAGTTGAAGGTTTAAATTAGATTATCTTAATAGCTTTTAGTGAACCTGAGCTTTTTTGTTCTGCTGATATGGAATTTTGGGTTCTTTTCTCAACCCTGAAAGAAAGTCTCGGGTTGATATGAATGTACAACTCTGATCCATGGAATACTTTCCAGCTGAATGCACATAAATGGAACCACTTTCTGCAGATGTAACTAAATGGTCTTCCCTAGGATCATGATTTACTTGGAAGTGTGTATCCGTCGAACACCTCTGGATAGTTGAGGCATGTATGGATATTTAGTTTAGGGTGTCTTTGTGTAGCGATTGCAGGTAGACCGTCTCATTTTGGCTATGATGATGTTGTCAGCTAGAATTTTTCTTGAAATGTTTCCTTTGAATATTGGCCACATCTCTTTTGTCTGGAAAAGGTTGTTATTCTTTCATTAACTCTTATTGGATGCGATCTCTGGTTATAATTCTACAAATAAAGCCAGCAAAATCTGGGTACTAAATATGATCCTGTGCTATTTTGGTAATTTGGATGCGAGATTGAATGCAATGGTGTCACATTAATTAATAGACCTGGTATATAATTCTTTCTGTCGTATATGTTCAGCTTTATTGTTAATCTAGAATGCAGTTATCCTCTCCTTGTTATTAACTTTTTCTCTGCTTATTAAACATAAGGAATTCCACAACCTGTCCAAAAAAAGGTCTTTTTAAATGTATTTTTATATTTAGTAATGTGTATTTATCTCTTCATAATAGCAATTCAGGCTGTGAATTAGTTCCAATATCTTTGTAGCATGTTTTTTGGAGCAATTATCCTATGTTACAGTCTCCAAGTGTTTGCTTGTAAGTGGATGTTGACGGTAGTGTCAATGACATGTATAACCATTGGGAAGTGAGTTCTAGGAAGAGGCAGTGAGCAAAGCCATGCTTTTCATAACTGGATTATGTTGTTTATGTGTTTGCATTCATCAAATTGTGTGGTTCATTTGTTTGTATTTGCATGTCCATGTGTTTTTAAAGCACAGTGTGTGCTGTTTCTCGTATAGATTCTGATTGCACCCTAATTGGAGATAAAAGAAAAGGCTTTAAGCTCATATTAGGATACTATTACGGGGATGATGCCACCTAAATGAGTGAATGTATGCTTTGTATGTGAAGTAGGTGTATGGGAATTTTGGATGTACCTTTCCTTTAAACCCCCCCCCCCGGCACCCGGGGGCATTTAATTATGCCTTTTACGGTGAAAAAGTTAGAAGCAGCCATTTTTGAGTGAAATTGAAGATTTAGAAGCAGCCGAAATTTGATCTTCTTGGGTTCTATAAAGGATTTTTCTCTTATGTATACAGCGATATGCACACCATTTTTGTCAACTTGATCAATTATAATTCTGGCTTATGCTTTTAATGTTCTTCATTTCCCTCTCGTGTGCAACACCTCCTGCCTCTTTCCTTATGAGTTTGCAAAAAACTTTCTATTTCTAAATGTGCAGCAACTGTTGCTTAAGGATAACCCTGTACTCAGCTGATCTCATTTCTCTGATATTTTGCAGGGTGGATGTTGTAGTCTTTGTAATTTGGGAGCTTGTGATCTTAGCATTTCTGGTTTTCTCAGCTGTTTCGTTATACTTCAGACAACTGAGGCTTGCTTTTATTTTATTATGTGTTACGTTACTATTGCTTCTGTGCATGAAGATTACCAAACAAGTAAGACAGGCTAGGAGAAAGAAGCGAAGGATGCTTCTTCCGCTGTCAATGTAACAGTTCTTACAAGTGGTCAACATTGACTCTGTAAATTGTGAGAATCTTTAACCTTTGTATTTCTCATTCTTTTACCATCAGTTATTTTGGTCCATGTAACTGAATTTGAGGTAGCTGATTAAGAGTATAAATTCCTGTTGTTATTTAACCATGAGACGGCTGGGTTTGGAGGTTGATTTGTTTTGGTTGAAGTTCTGTCCCTAAATTAATTTTGTGCCATCAAGCACGGATTTTGGTTCTATTAGCACCCTTGTCCCATGAACACTGACGTTGCACATTTTGGCGGTTGTACTGCTTTGTCATGTAGGAAGCTGTTTGATACCATTTACTTGTTAAACATTGGCATTTGATGTCCATGGAATACACCAACCAGTATCCTTGGAATAGAATCCTGATTTGCAATATTGGATGCATGACCTCTATCTGAGAATGAGGATTGGATTCTATACATTGCGGAGAAATTGGTGTTTAAATGATTTCTACATGAGGTTTGAGGTCTTCAAATTGTTAGTTGAGTGATACATAGACCGTCTGTGCGATGCTTGAAGATCATTGGGGCTTAAAGAAATGGACCTCAATTCCCTGCGTCACTATTGTCCATATTGCACCGAAGACCAGTAGAATGCTCAAAACAATTCCCAAGCTTCCAAGTGACCAATTAAGGTACCACATTGCGCTATGCTTTACAGGTTTGTTGGTCATAATCCACATTATACAGGGATATGCAAAAGTTACTGGGAGTGTAATGCCTCCAATCAGCCCTGCCAAACTCGGCAAGAAGGGAAGAGCCACTGCTATAAAGAATGCCAGGCACCCAAAAAACATTCGTAATGCTGCCCTCAACCACCACGGACATGGCCTGTTATTGTTGCTGGTGTACCTGAATTCAAGGTTGTCGAAGACTGGCATTGCATATATTTGGAATGATGTTAAGCTGTTGAGGACGATAAACAGGCTTGTCGCCCCTGAATCACCTTTGACGTGTCATTCCTGTGGTATTTGTCCAAAGCGCTCATTATCCCACCGTTGGAAGGTATCTGGCGGCAGAGCACACCAGAATCAGTACTTATCTCGTTCAAAAATTGCAGTTTTAGATGACAAATATATGCAGGAGGACATAATTAAGGATGATTAGTACTGCTAGAGTAGCAAGTCCAAAGAGGGGCATTGGAGTGTACCAGGTCTCCGTAAGCCCAGTAGCCGCCAATTGCCAAAGGAAACAAACACAAGGCAATGATGAGGTACGAGAACTTCACTCCTTTCCACATTGGCAGGCGTGAGGGTTGCTTGAGACTGGATGGCATCGTACCCTGTATTGAAAACGCAACATAGTAGTAGGAACAGATCAGTGCCCAACACAACACACACCTTTCTACTTGCTACCATATCGGAATTCAAAAGGATACAGTCCAACTCTTAGTACCATTTATGTTTTCTTATATATATATATAGAGGCATGTTCCATTCTCAATGACAGTTATTCGAGTTGCAAATAGAGCAAAACCTGTATCTCAAGGACTAGATTGTGGCCCCTGAAGGCAAATGCAACGATCCAAGGGCGTTCAGGATGCTGCAAATTCTACCAATTTCAGATTTAAACACTATTGGTTCATAAGAGACTTTCCCAGGCCGATCCTTGACAACCGACACCACCCATATAATCGTACAGTAAGAAACTGCTGTGACTGCACCGATTAAAGAACTCCGGCTATGGAGTTTAGATTAGGAAGTTGAGCCAGAATTACGGCAGAGAACGTGAACACCAGATACCATTCGGTCATGCTCAGCGGGGTGATGTGGTCGGTGGCTCCGCTACTACTTTCGCAAACAGTTTGATAAAACATCTTCATGGTTCCGCCTCCAATCATTATTAGTGCAACACAAGTCCCTCCTGATAGATACATAGTCGGAAATAGAGCCAAAAGCTTCCCTACCTTGTTACCTGCAGCACCCGGCCCAAAAATCAATCATCTTTTAGTTACCGATTCATCGATCTTTCACTGCGTACTTTGAAAAGTAAGGTAATTAAAAAAAAAAAAAAAAAAAAAAGGTAATGTGGTTCTAGTGATACTGGTCTTTTCAACTTTAATTTTGTGGCAGGATTAACAGAATTAAGCTTTTGGTCTTTTCTAATAGTGCTAGTTGTGACTCATGAAGGAGGATGTAGTCTGATGCTGACCGAAAACAGCCATGGAGAGCCATAGGTAACGGCTGTATCGCATCCCCGCTACAGACTCGTGTAATTGGATTAATAACCATAATGTGTATAACTGCCACATAAAAGCCAGCGATAGACAAATGATTCCCCAGGTCCTGCAATTAGTAGTGCATGCATAATTAGGAACTTAATCAGATCGAGATTGAAAAAGTAGTGGTAAGAATACACATACTAGTACCATATATACTGGGAATTAACTTAAAAGAAGTGGAATTTTTTCAAGTGTTAGTCACCATCCAACCAAATTATGTTAACGTTTAATTAACTCACCAACCAAGGGCTGTAAAAGCAAGAGGGAGTACAAGAGCTTGTACTCCAATCCCTGAGCTAAGCGTGTGAAAAGCTGCATAATAGGCGTTTCCATTCCTGGACTCCGTGATGGGAAGCCATGCTTCTTGAGGATCAAGCTTAGTGAAATGACCTATTTCTTCCAGGCAACCTTGCATGCTTTCAATGGCTTTCTTCATGGGGCTTGCTAAAGGGGTCATAATGCGTGCGGCAAAAGGGCTTTTAGGGGTCTAGGCGGGGTTCCGTTAATTCCATGGTTTGGAGTTTCAGTCGTGGAAAGTGAATGGATTGCTCCAAATGTTGGGGATACTGAGGCTGCCGGAAGTACTCCAGGAATAGGTTCTTGAATATCGGGGCTGGGGCTTGAGATCACTTCTACCAGCTCTGCTCGACCATGATTGGCCCAGGAGTCTCTCTCTCTTTTCACTTTCTCCTCACGTAATTAGTATCGTTGGTCTTTGATGTAGAGCCTGTGTCGTAGGATTTGTTGGAGCAATGGTAGGATATATATAGAACCATTTAAAGGGAGTTTTGATCGATGTATTGGTCGATGTGGATGCTACCATGCTGCGGGAATAAAGTTGGTATCTTTTGCTTCTTTGACCAACCGCACAATGGCTTGGCTGCCGGTTAAAAGACTTGAAAAAGGCCAGCAATACGAGCAATCACTGCTCAACGAGTCATAAAGCATGTCTGCTTGTATCAGAGGAGCGTATGTGGTCTATCATGCAGATAAGCAGATAAATATCATCAGAAGATTAATTAATCAGCAGGGCTTGGTGGAAATTTCCCAAGTTGCACTCTCTTGGCTACACTGTTCTTGGGAACCAGAATATCCTTTATCCAATCAATATGGTGCCTCTTTGCTAGGAAGTTTCAATGATCGCTATTCAAATTGAAGTGAAACTCAGTTGTTTATTAAGGGCACTTTCTTTCCACATTGTACGTACCAATAAACACTAAGTAGACTGAAGAATACAAGATAGTTGAACCAACTTTTTTCTTATATTTCGTTATTTAACTCACTATACCTTATGCAGCACGAATGAAATACTTCGGCAGCATTATGGTGGTGGAATACAGGGGTTGATGGCTGTTGTTTAAGTTCCTCGGACCCAGATGATCCGTAAAGAATATTGATTAGTGGGTTAAGGATGATATATATATATATATATATATATATATATATATATATATATATATATATGGTTGCTGTAAGTTTTGGATTACCTAATGCATAAGGAACCCCTTTGCGTTAAGTGAAAAGTGAATTAATCAATTAAGAGATCAGTTTCAACACTTTGAACCTGAAAATGGATGACCTCAGGGTCCTAACGTCTGCGGTAATGATGCCATAGCCTGACGCAAGAATTATGCAGGTCCAGTCCAGAAAAGTGATGAAGGATACGTGGGCTGAGGTGTTAGCGACCATACATGGGTGAACTTACCTAAGAATTGAGAATTGAGACGATCTCCATCCCTGCTGCCCAGGACAGAGTAGTTGCTAGGACCGCACCGGGTCAGAGGACCAAGGAGCATGATACCCTTTAAATAAAGTTTAAAGGATTCGAATCTGGTGAATGGAGAAAATAACACCCCCAAAAAGGATTCGACAATACTCAGACTCGAATTATTCAAAACCAATGCAGTCTCCGAACACTAGCAGTTAACACCCAAAAAAAAAGGTTGCAAGGGCCACCAACTTTCTCATAGTGCGCTATTCGTTCCACCTTTTTCTTCCTTGACAACTAACTTGGTTCTTGCTTTCCGGACTCAAACTTTCTAGTTTGCCTGCTATCGACTCAAATTGGTTCATCTTTATATGGACTGACATTAGAGGCCAGGGAAGAGAACCATTTTTATTTTGCTTTCTAATGTTTCTTGACTGTCTACAACAATCCTTGTTTCATTTCTTAGAAGCTTTCTACTTTTCTCTATACCTGCTTTTAATGTTAAACAAGTTTCAATTTTTCGACTCAACATTTTTTTTTTTTGGGCATTAGACTCTACTCTTAACTGGATCAGGATTGGCCTGGTTGGTGTAATTCTGATGTAATCGTAATTTTTTATACAAGTATAATAGTATGAGTTGATAACCTTACGTTACAGCAGTTTATGAGAATTACATAACCAGACAGGGCAACAATTCCACTTGAGAGTTGAGAGACCCCAGATCCCTCTTTAACTCCGGTAAATGATTCTATGGAATCTATGTCACTGGGGGCGGCGGTGCGGCCACCCAGATCAGTATCTCCACCAGTTGGAAGATTTTTGAGCGTCTCCCACCAACCTTCCGAAGCTGCAGGAAAAGTCAGGGAATCCACGGCCTAAGCACTCGTCACTCGACAGTAGAGGTGTCAAATAAAACCATTTAATTAATTTTACCCATACCCGCCCATTAATAACTGGATATGGGTACATTAAATTTTTATATATGGATATAAATGGGTTACCCAATTAAACCCATTTATTAAATGGGTTTAATTGGGTAACCCATCTAACCCATTTAACCCATTTAACTTGCATTCCCAAACCCTTTGTATTTCCCATTTTCACCGTCAATCTTCTTCTCCTCCCCACCAGCAAGCCCACTGCTTCCCTCCCCCCTTCTTCCTCCAGTGTTTGTTTCCCCCATCTCTTCTCCCCGTCTTTGTATTTTGCCCCTTCCATGTCCGATTTCTGAGCTCATATGGGCATCGTTCGAAAAGTAGTTCTGCTGTCTCGTGAGGAGTGAGTGGTCTAATAGGATGACAGACACTAGTGGGACTGACAGAGACATTCCAATGGTTATTATCCTGCAGACGGAATGAATGGTGACACACAAGCGATGCAGCCAACTATTTTGCCTTGATTAACGGCCAAAAAAAGGTTCGCTTGTGTTATCTCTTTCGTTCGGATCTCCAGAATTAGAATTCAAAATAGTGCCTAATTAGAATTCTTGGTTGCATTGCATGTCTGCTAGAATTCTTGGTTGCATTTGCATGCATGCGGATCAAGCATTGGCGAATGTGGTTTTGACAGTCAAGAATTTGAAGTAGTTAAGCTTAACTTTGGAAGGCTAATAATGGTATAATTAATTTTAGGATTATCTAATTAAGTTCAGTTTTGCAGATTGCTGAATCTAATTAAATATTGCACCGTAGTATGTTACCATTCTTAAGTTTTTGGACATCTTGGACTGGTTAAATGATTGTTTCGCTTACCTTTGTTTGCAGATTGCATTAGATCTTATTTAGTAGAAAGCTCTGTAGATTTATGGCTGGACCAAATTGACAATACTTGGTAAAAACATGTAGTTCTTGGGATCAATGTTGCAGAAATATTAGATGAGGTGTACAAAATTGGAAGGCTGAGAGTCTTAGACAGAAAAATATCAGATAAGGTGTACAAAGTTGGTAGTATAGATAACAGAAATGCTATCCCATCATGATCCAATAGATGAGTTGTCAGAGCACATTCAGGAACAATGTTCTTATACAAGCCATGAACCTACCAATACAAATGAGTTGATCCAAGGTTCTTCTAAGCGTTCGAGACAGCTCACGTCATTGATTTGGAAGGAATTTGAAATATTATGTGTTGAGCCAGATGGCTCACAAAGAGCACAATGTAAATGGTGCAAGCGTGATTATGCATGCGGTGGAACAACCGGAACAAGCAACTTATGGCGTCATCTTTCAAATTGTAATAAGCGTGGACAATCTGATTTTGAAGAACGGTCTCCAATTGACCAAGGAATTTATCGGGAAAAGATGGGAATTGCTATTGTGAAGCATAACCATCCTTATAGACTGGTGGAGCAAGAAGGAATTCGAGACTTGTGTATATACTTAAATTCAGATGCTTTACCCATTTCGAGAAACACGATAAAGACTGATATTGAAAAGATGTACAAAAGAGAAAAAGAGACAGTAAAGACAGAATTAAATTCAATTTCAAGTCGAATTTGCCTTACTGCAGACTTGTGGACATCTATTGCAACAGATGGGTATTTGGCATTGACGGCTCATTTCGTGGATGAAGATTGGATTTTACAAAAAGGGTTCTAAATTTTCACCACATGCCACCACCACATGGTGGTCCAATATTAGCTGAAAAAGTCATAGATTTATTGAGAGATTGGGCTGTTGAAAAAAAAGTTTTTACTATCACATTGGATAACGCATCTTACAATGATGGTATGGTGAATCTGTTGAAGCAGCATTTGAGGCTAAGAAATACACTATTTTGTGAGGGTGAATTTTTTCATGTAAGATGCAGTGCACATGTGCTAAATTTGATTGTCCAAGATGGTGTCAAAGTTATTTCCAAACCAGTCTCAAAGATCCGAGAGTGTGTAAAATATATCAGAGCTAGTGAATCAAGAAAGTTGAAATTTGCAGAGTGTATTGTTCAAGTTTCTTTGCCATGCAATAAGAGGGTGCATCAAGATGTCCCAACCAGATGGAACTCTACATTTGTGATGCTGGATAGTGCACTTGAATATAAGCTTGCCTTTCATCAGTTGCACGTGGTTGATCGCAACTTCAGCAGATTTTACCCAACTGAAGAAGAATGGCTTAAGGTGCAGAAATTTACAACACTGTTGAGGCCTTTTTATGACCTGACCACCCTTTTTTCGGGGACTAATTATCCAACTGCAAATTTGTATTTTCATGGTGTCTGGAAAATTCAAAAAGTTATCACGGAAGAGGTCAATAATTTAGACATTGAAGTGAGTGAAATGGCCAGGCAAATGAAACGGAAATTTGAGAAGTATTGGGAATGTTATAGCTTGGTTTTGAGTTTTGCCATCATTTTGGATCCGCGTTTTAAAATGGATTATGTGGTGTATGCTTTTAAGAAGCTATATCCTTTTGATTATGAAGAACGTGCTAATGAAGTTCGGGATAAATTTTATTTACTATTTGAGGAGTACGAGAATACTTTTGATGGTGATTTGCTAGATGGATCAATAGCAGGCTGCTCTGGTGGTGATTTGGGCAATGACAATGATGATTTTGCTGAATTTGAGAGTCAACAACATGCAAACAAGAGGAATAAGTCACAAGTAGACTCTTATTTGGATGATACTCGACTCCTTTCAACTCAAGAATTGGATGTTCTCAATTTTTGGAAAGAAAACAAAAATCGATACCCTATTCTTTCTTTGATGGCACGGGATATTTTAAGTATTCCTATCACTACAGTGGCCTCGGAATCAGCTTTCAGTATTGGTGGTAGAATTGTGGGTAAATATCGTACTTCGCTCCTACCAGAAAATGTGGAGGTCTTGTTATGTACTAGGGACTGGTTATATGGAGTAACAGGTATGTTATACTTAACCTTTTGAGTGCACATGATCTTGTATTTTACTTTTTTGGTCACTTATTGAATTTACTTTTGATTTCAGCTTCTGAAGATGATGAAGATAAAGAAAGACTGAGTATTGACTTTGCACCTTTAGTTGCTAAACTTACTAACCTTCATATTTAGGTAAGCTGTATTCTCATGATCATGGAGATTGTTAGTAATGTGGTGAAAAGAATTTTATCTTTCTGTCTAGATGAAATTTAAGTAGCAAAAAACAGAACTTTGAATTTGGTTTTGGTTTTGGTTGCCAGGAATCTTCTCTATTTTGTGTTGAGCCAGCAGCAAACTTTTAGGTTGCTATCTTTTTACTGTCAAGTGGATATTTGTATTGTCACTGGCACTCCTTCAAGCTGCTTACTTCATCCCGTCTTCTAATCAGAATTCTAGTCATATTGAGCTGCTGCGCAAAGGTTTGAAGAATAATACTGAGTTCAGTTTATCAAGAGAACACATGAGCAGGCATGGTATAGAAACTTATGGCAAATATTTTGCTCTAATAGTACCACCGTCTGCATTTGGATTTTGCAGAGACCAGGCCCTGAGAGTCAACTTCTCTCGTGCATCTCGCTGTCCTGTGGCAATGAAAACCATTCTGGCTGCAGTTTTTTTTGGCACTATTCGGTACCTGCTTCACGTAGTAAGTTTGCAGCAAAGTAGAAGCAAGCAAATCAAGCCCAATAGCACAATGGCTAGCACAGATGCATTCTGTAACTTAACTTTCATGGGAAAAGAGGAGAAATCACACGAGTAGTCGTGCTCTTGACAATTTTTTCTTAAAGAGTTTCTTTTGACTTTATCATATTTACATTTTCAGTTTCTTGTATATCTTGTATAATCCAACCTACCTGTGATTACTCATAGTACTGTTGAGTAATTTACATATATTGACTTCAGGTTGATATTTGTATGCTAAATGAAGTGATTGCTAGTCTTCATAAGGATTTTTAACTATTTTTTATGTTAAGTATTTTTGTTTTATTTATTATATTTATTTGTTGGTTTTATCTTATCGCTTTATTTCCTTGTAATTTATTAATTTGATCATTTTTTAGCATCATCAATTTATGACAAATTTTAGCTTCCTTTCTTACCTTTTCAAATGAAATTTTAAATTTATAAACGAAAAAATACTAGGGGTTCAAAGTTTTGGATTAAATTTTTTTGTTAACTTTCATATTATTTAGTCCAAATTTTTAGATTCTCATTGTTCAATTATTAAATAATATGTAATTTTGCAACATGGCACGCGGAAGGAAAAAAATTGATAATTAGACTTATTTGGCATAATAAGTAAATATTTAAAATTAATGATGGGTGTAAAATGATATAAATTGATAATTTAGTTTACAAAATGAATTTATATGAGCTTGTAAAAAATTAGAATAAATGGGTTATAAATGGATAATTGAGTTACCCAACTCATTTTTTGACTTACCCATTTATACCCATCTAATTAAATGGATATAAATGGGTTGACTAATTTATACCCATTACCCATTTTACCCAACCCAAACCCGCCCAAATCACCCATTTTGCCACCTCTACTCGACAGTGGCTGGTGGGACACCGAAGGATGGTTAAAGGGATCGCTAGCTGTTGGAAGCCTCTGACATCATAATACGATCATTTAATGGATAGTCTTCTCTACACTAGACAATCTTTATTGGACATATACAGCATAGCATGTTTTTCTTTTTCTGACAACAAATTGTTCAATGTACAGCAAATAGTAGTCTTCTCTACTTTCTCTCTTAACGGCGTTTTACACGTTCACTCATTGACAATAGGGCCGTTGTTGTCCGTCCAATGCATTTTTGAATTATTGCGAGTCTTTTGTCGTATGAAAATTACAATTGCTAGCTTTGTTAAACACTTTTTCATGCAAAATGAATGAAGTAGCAGCTGACACCACTATGTAGGAGCAATTTTTTTGGTTGTAGTGCTATAATATATATGATTCAAGTGGCAATTTACAAGTGTTATTTTTTTTTTTTTGAAAAAAAAACAGTTTTGGTATCCAAACTTTGACACAGAGGATGGTCTTCGCCTGGCTTGTGCCAAATTTGATTATTGGTCACATCCACAGTTTTCCTTCAAGTTGCGATCGACATTCAAAAGTGAGGTATTTCTGAGAGTGTTTAGATAGTGAAATTATCTCAAATATTATTTCGCTTGTATCATAAACACATTTCTCAACACACCTTTTTATATTTTCAATCACCTTTTTATCTCACATACACCACGTCATAAAAAGTGCTACCGTAATTATTTTAAATAATACTCTATCCAAACAAATTTATGCACATGACTCCCAAGTGTAAATTCGGGCCGCTCCATTGAGGGTAAGGTGGAAAACGTGCCAATTTGAACACCGATCATATCATGGTAATCATCGAGGGAGGCCCATTACCTACACTTAATGTCCAGTATCCACTCGCTTCTGTAAACCGAATGCACGAACCGGGAAGCTTAAAAAAAGGGACCAAAATTGGAGGTGAATTCACATGCACCCGTACCGTTTCCACAGCAAATCACACCAGCAATGCTAAAGACTCGCTTACTCGAAGATGGTAATATAATCCCCGCTCCACCCTTCAGACGATTCTATATCCTTCCGTACAACTCAAAGATGATTGTTATCCTGCGGTTGAGTAGCTTTTACATCTTGCCAAAGGTTAGAATTTCAAAGCCAGCAGAACACCTTGATGCAACGTTCTTGTACATTTACAGAACTTTTCGAAGAACTTCTGAATTACAATATGCGAATTTGTGCAAACTGAAGCACCTTTTTCTTGGGTTTTTATGGTTCCGAGTGTATTTAATGGGATATCATTGATGCACCTTTTCATTTTCATTTTGCCCAATTAGAGGCAAAGCTTCATAATTTAGAGGTAGCGAGCTTTATAAGATCCTTCCTAAGGATCTTGCCTGAAGGATTTTTTGGCATTGATGTCACAAAAGCCACTCGCCGGATCCTCTTGTACGGAGCCACCTAAAGAAAAGTGCACAATCTCTTCATTACGTCTCAATGGCCAAGGGTAATGTTTCTAAGATAAAATCTGATCATAAATACTACTACTACTACTACTACATGGAAGGCACCATCCTTTAAGTTGAATTTCGGCTGACAGAGATTCAACTCGACTTGGGCCCAAATCCAGTGTAATTATGCTGAATCTAATTATTTGACGCAGCACTGTAGCGGGATATAAATAATAGTGAATTATTACGAAATTTTGGTGCTAATGTTTATTACAATTATCAATGATAAAATATTATAAAAACCTGCATATACTCACACTAAGTTTAGTTTGGGAGTTGGAAATTTGGGTAGAAAGGAAAGGAAAACCAGAGAAAAGTGAGTTCTTTATTGCCTAGCAGTATCTATATCTATATAAATTTGAGAGGATTTTCACCAACAAACCTTCACACATCTTCCCATTCTCAATTCCATTTTTCTAGCATTTTACGTTTAATTTAATTTATAAAATATATTCTTCTCAACTTATGCATCTACTTTTCAGATTTGAAATTGTTGGTTATTTTTTAAAATCATTTCATTTCAAATTGTTAGTTAACGTGCATGTGCATGTTATCTTATTTGAAGTTCAACACATCATGTTGTCTTATTGCCATGTGTTATTTACGATTCTACTCCAATTAAAACTTCTATAAGACTATAATAAGAGATAACACGTATAATATCTTTTCATGCCTTTTTAATTTAAATAAGTAAGGGAGAATGTTATTTGCACTCACATAATCATTTTGATCATATAGTTTTCATTCATTAGACAATATGATAAAAAAAAAATGTGAGAGTACAAATAATAAAAAAATGAAGTGCATATAACATTTTCCTAAGTAAGAAGTGTCTTCCATGCCTTTTGAATTTAAATAATAAGAAGTGACTCCACTTATATAGGAATTTAGTTTGAAGTTTATTAACAGGAAGGTAAGTGAAGAGAAAACATTGCCAAATTTAGTAAAAGTAAATAACAATATTTTATTTTTTAACATAATAATCCTAAGTAAAAGGGCAAAATTAAATAGAAAACAAAAATTAAATAATATTCATTAGTTGTGGTTTTAAAAAATCAAGAATTGTATCATTCCTGAAATCTAAATTATGAAATCACTAAATAAAAAACAAACTACTACTGGTATTTTAACGTGGAAATTTTTATTTGAAATACTCATTTTTGATAAAAAAAAAAATAATGATAATAACAGCACCAATTCTACCAAAAATTTAAAAATAAAATAACATTACAGTTTAAGAGAAAGATATAGAACATTTGACCCTAAAATACTACTTAATTTGTATATATATGACCCAAATTTGACCATGATTAGATTTGGATAAGAGTACAAAACCCAAACACTAAGGATAACGTTGGATATCATTAATTATTTTATGTATTCTTATTGCTGTCTTCATATGTAAATATGTAATTACTATGTTATATATATACATATATATATTGATTTTAGAACTTGAAGGTATTATAGATATTATTAGTTTTTCATTTCCATTTTTAGATGCTAATAATTGCAACCACTGTAATCAATTTTCAGTTTTATATTTTTATTATGGTGGGTAAAGTTAAATATTTAGCAAGGATATGAATCTAGAGATTGGGAAGGAGGGGGAGAAAAGAATGGCGAGGAGTTGAAGAGTGGCAGGAAAAGTTGAAGAAGAAATGTGGGTTATAGACGGAGAAAAGGGGGAAGAAAAATGGGGATAATTGTAGGGATATGACAAGTGATAAAAAAAAAATAATACGGATAATGGCACTATGATATGAGGTATGAAAGTCGTAGAAAGTAGCTGATGGCTAACTAGCGGATAAGAGACGAGGGAAAGGATGTTAATTTTTAATAATTTTGATAACTTTAAAAACACATATTATAGAGATTTTTTTTATAAAAAATCTACATTAAAGTTTATGAAAAATACTAATCTAAAAGCAATCAACAATTTTAGCGTCACAAGATAAGAGAAAGAATTTTTTTTCAAAAAATTAAAGAAAATAAATTGGTCATGATTTATTTTCTTATATTACAAGTTTTGATATATGGGTATAACATAATTTTTTTGTCCGATATTGATAAATTGGTTTTTTTATTAGAAAATTATTTTCACCTTACCACCCAACCTAACCCTTTGCTTAAACGCGTTAACAATTCCTCTATCACGTTATAAATTAAAATTTTTTCAACATGTAAAGCATACACTTCTTTAAAATTTTTAGTCTTTTATATAATATATATATATATAATTCTATACCACAATATATAAATATAAGTCTGTGCATAACACGGTTAAAATGCTGGTAGAGTAAAATGGAAGGATTTGGAGGATATGCATAATAGAGATAACAGTGATTAAAATTTTTTTTTTGCCCTCCCAATTTTGGCAGAAAAGGAAGGAAACTTGCAACAAACTCGTTATTCTTATTTAAAAAGCTCTTGAACCTTTTTTTAAAAAAAAAAAATTTGTGAAAGGATTGCTATTGCATTTATAGCAAGACATGAGAGCATGAAAAAAAGACATTAAAAAGCGTAAATAAATCCTTACACATTTGCTGTATACTGTACTTGATGAAGGAAATGCATATTAACCACCGGCACCCACCGTATAAATAATAGTAAATGTGCATCGTAGCATTTCATTTCATTGCCAATTTTTTTGGTTTCGTACTTCGTAGTACAGGAAGGCTTTTGGTTTGTGGCCATGTGGGCGGGGAGTGGGTGATATGGAATTTTGCATGTACGTACCTTTCATGATTGAGGGCCCTCTGAGCCAAAGCTCACCGTTCTGTTCGCCGGGAGGGCCTCTCCAGTTTGGGTGTCCACTGTCCACAATCTTGGCTTCCGTGCTAGGCGTAATCAGCCCTGCTGTTCCGTACCGCCGGCTCTCCTCCACCGTC